TTGAACTCACAGCCAGACTTCACTTCCCAGTACGGCTACCAGATAAAGCAAATAAAAATACAGGATGCCGGTTACATTTGAGTTTCAATTAAGCAAAGAAGAAATTCTTAGAATTATGTCCCGTGAGATATTTGGAATGCAATTATATTGAAAAATAACTTGTTTACCTGAAATTCAAATGTAGCTGGGCATGCTGTATTTTATCTAGGAACCCTACTTTCCACCTGCTTTGCGTTTAGACATGGCCGTGTGACTAAGTTCTAGCTAGTGGAATGGAATGATGTGTTGACTCTTCCAGGCTGGCTCTTTAAAACTTTTCCAGGAGTAGAGAATTCTGTGGAGCTAGAGGAGGACAATGTCACAAAATGGACAAGACTGGGTCCCCAGTAATTGGGCAGAACAGACCTCCCTTCCTAAACCTGCACTAGACTATGAATCAAAAAGAAAGGAACAGCCACTGAGTTTTGGCGGTTGTTTGGTATCACAGTTAACCTACCTTGGCTAATATCCCTAATCCCTAAATTCAATAGCTTTTCTTATCCTTTCCTTAACCTTAACAGCATATGACCCTGCTAACCATTTCTTCTTGAAACTTTTTTTTTTTTTTGAGACAGGGTCTCACTCTGTCACCCAGGTTGGAGTGCAGTGGTGTGATCATGGCTCACTGCAGCCTTGACCTCCTGGGATCAGGTGATCCTCCCATCTCAGTCTCCCAAGTAGCTGGGACTATAGGCGCACACCAGGACACCCAGCTAATTTTTGTATTTTTTGTAGAGATGGGGTTTCACCATGTTTCCCAGGCTGGTCTCAAACTCCTGGGCTCAAGCAGTCCACCCACCTCAGCCTCCCAAAGTGCTAGGATTAGAGTCATGAGCCACCGTGCCTGGCCTTGAAACTCTCTTTTTCCCCAATGATAGAATTTGTTTCCGGTCCTTTAATTATAATAATGATAATAAAATAGCTACCATTCATGAAGTTCTTGTCACATACCAGGCACTGTACTAAGTGTTTTATCTTCATGATGGCCCATGTGGTAGATGCTATTGCCCCATTGTAGATGAGAAAACAGGCTTAGGGTTAGGGTTAGGCTTAGGGTTAGGTTGAGCCACTTGCCCACACTCTTAGAGCCTCTCTCTTCTCTCTCTACACTTTTTGACAATCCCATCCAATAGCATGGCTGCTGTAATTACCATGTCTGTGTGGATGACCCCCCTGACCACTCTCCTGGTCTCCAGTCCCACATTTCCTGGCACATAAATGTGCTGCTGCCATCGTAAACCCAACATGTCCAAAATGCAGTTATTCCTTTGTTAGCACTGTTCTCAACACTTTTCATATGGTAACATTTAGTTCCCACCACTACCCTATGGGATGTTATTCTTTTTTTTTTTTTTTTTTTTTTTTTGGGGGTTTTTTTTTTTTTTTTTTTTTTTTTTTTTTGAGACGGAGTTTTGCTCTTGTTACCCAGGCTGGAGTGCAATGGCACGATCTCAGCTCACCGCAACCTCCGCCTCCCGGGTTCAGGCAATTCTCCTGCCTCAGCCTCCTGAGTTGCTGGGATTACAGGCATGTACTCCATGCCCAGCTGATTTTTTGTATTTTTAGTAGAGACGGGGTTTCACCATGTTGACCAGGATGGTCTCGATCTCTTGACCTCGTGATCCACCCGCCTCGGCCTCCCACAGTGCTGGGATTACAGGCTTGAGCCACCACGCCCGGCCTGGGATGTTATTATTCTTTTATCTATGAGCTAGATATTATTATCTACATTTTACAGATGAGTAAACTGAGGCTTAGAGAGTCAGTATCTGGCTCAAGTTTACATAGCTAGGACACAGTAGAGCTGGGCTTGGGGCTGATTTCAAAGCCTAGATTAAGACCTCAGCTCCACTCACACTGAGCCCTCCCTGTCCCATCCTGTTCCATTTCCTGCCTTCTATATTCATTCTCCACCCTTAACTTTTTCTTTTTTATTCCTCCACTACCAAAAAGAAGCTTCCAAAAGGTGCTTCTAAAAAGATGCACTTTTTTTTTTCTTTTTATACCCTTAACTTTCAAATCCTACCTATCCTTCAAAGTCTAGTTCAACTACAATTTCTCCATAAAGTCTTTTCAGGCATCCCAAGCTGGAAGGGGTCGCCATCTTGTGTGAACTTACAGAGTACATGCTCTGTGCTTCATTTACCTTTTTCTAAGTGCACAAATAAAACTTGAATTCATTCTAATCATAAAGAGTTCAAGTAGGGCTGGGCATAGTGGCTCACGCCTGTAATCCTAGCACTTTGGGAGGCCGAGATGGGTGGATCACGAGGTCAGGAGTTTGAGACCAGCCTGGCCAACATGGTGAAACACTGCCTCTACTGAAAAATACAAAAATTAGCTGGGCATGGTGGCGGGCTCTTGTAACCCCAACTACTTGGGAGGCTGAGGAAGGAGAATCACTTGAACCCAGGAGGCGGAGGTTACAGTGAGCCTAGATTGCACCACTGCACTCCTGCCTGGGTGACAGAGCAAGGCTCTGTCTCAAAAAAAAAAAAAAAAAAAAAAAAAAGATTCAAGTAGTGAGATATAGAGCAAGAAGAGTCCTTTCACTCTCCAGAATTTATTGTTTTCTGCCTTCATTAATTTTTCTGTGTCTGCTAGCAACTTTATTACAGTTATTTGAGGACAGGAGGCATAGTTGAGTTATCTTTATTCCCCTAAAATCGGTATTAATAAACAATTACTGAAAGAATCAATCAGTTTCAAATCCCTTGAGCCTGCACATATTACATTTTTAGATGATAGTGAGAGGGTCTGTTCAGAAAAGTGACATTTTTCCAGGAGGACTGGTAAAGGCATGTCAAACACTCTCCTCCCACCTTCATTAAAGAACAAAAAAAAAGCATCTACTTCTAGGTACTTCTAGGCGTCTGGTTTCTGTCTTAGCAGGGTCTCAGAAGGAAATGACTCTTCTCTGAAATTGCAGACACCCCACCTAGCTGTGGCATTGTTAGACCTCAGGGTAAACAGGAAACTTCCTGCCTTGGGCCCTTCAAGTCCCTCTCCCAGACTATTAAAGAGACTGTTAATAGGACGGTAAAAGGACAGCTGCTGGTCATAAAATCAGCCCATTCAGTAGATCCTTAGAGAACAACTAAATCCCTGCAAGGTCAGAAAGAAAACTTTGCCCAGCTCAGGCCAGGTGCGTCCACCTAGTTGGGCTCCTGTTACAAGTTTCAGGGTATGATGAGCTCTAGTTAAGCTGAAACTGCCAGAACAGTGACATCACACCTACCTTATGGGGTCTGAGTCACCTCTTCCAGTAGATGAATAATCAGTCCTGATTATCCCCCAAGAGGAGGCAAAGAGGAGAGCAAAGAATCCAGTGCTCCTACCTCAGCAACAGAGAGCCGAAACAGGACCCCAACGCTTCCTGCACACAGGGTGGAAGTCTCTGGATTTGCAGCTGTTGGCAAGGAGAAAGGGAACAGTTTCTGCCAACTGGAGGGACATTAGGGCAGGGGTGATCATCTTTTGCCAAGAAGGGCACTCGGTGTCTTGGCAGAAGGCAGAGGGCTGCCCCGATCAGTGTGTACATTTTCAGAAGCATTTGACTCTGGACCAAATTCTCTCAGCTGTGCTAGTGCTGCATCGATGGATGGGAAATGCTTATTGGCCAGGCTGACCAGAAGCTCCAACAGAGGGTGCTGGGGCTCAGCCAGGAACTTCTCTTCAGCTGCCAAGTTTAGCTTTGTGTCACTGTCAGAGGGAGTGTGTCAAAATTCTAATTCTTGAGTCTCTCCAGAAGCTGCTTATGATTACCCATCTGTTTTGAAGAGTTTCTACTTACTGGACTTTTTTGGTTTAAGTGGGAAATAAAAGAGCTGATGGATGTTACAGAGCCAAACTCTTACCTGGCTCAAGGAATGGGCAAAAGTAGCTCAGCAGGGGTCAATGATCTTACTACAATTATAGTGATAGGCTCATGATTAAACAGGGGCCAGGAAGCAGGGCAGATACTATTTCATTCCACCTTGGACCACCTTGGACTTACGTACAATTTACCAATTCCTGCCGCTGTGTTGGCTCCTCTAACGCATGCCGATCAAGCAAGCAGGCACCTGAGAACACACAACAGGCAGCTTATCTGCTAGATATCACTGCTTTCCCTCATTCAAAGGAAAGACCACCTAAGTTCCTCCCCAGAGTTGCACTCTGGGGGTGGAGGAGGAGTTTCTTCTAATTGCTGAAGACAGGAGAACTAGGTATTTTCTCCTAAAATCACACGTTTAAGCCTCTACATAAGGGTTTAGACTGGGGGGATTCTGTTGTTTAAGGCAGTTCTTAAGATCTTAGAGCAGAAAGGGACTTACAAGAGATTGTATGGTTCACCACCACCCCCTGAAGAATATCATAATTTCACACGATTTTCAGAGGAGGTAACTAAGGTTCTGAAAACTCTCCCAAGTCACATGGCTGGTAAAGGGGGTTTTACTGAGAGGATTAGAATCCAGGGTTCCTGATACCTTCTTCTTACCCTTTTCCCTCCAACTGATTTGTATCATCTTAATTTTTAAAAATTACTTAACTTTTTCAGAAAACTGTCAGCTTAAAAAAATTTTTAAGAAAAAAAATTATTTTACTTTTTACCACAAAAAGGAAACAGCATGAAAATATTTGTATTATTTTTATTTTTTACTTTTTTTGAGACAGAGTCTCACTCTGTTGCCCAGGCTGGAGTGCAGTGGCCTGATCTCAGCTCACGGCAACCTCTGCCTCACAGGTTTAAGCAATTCTCATGCCTCAGCCTCACAAGTAGCTGGGATTACAGGTGTGCACCACCATGCCCTAATTTTTGTATTTTTAATAGAGATGGGTTTCACCATGCTGGCCAGGCTGGTCTCAAACTCCTGGCCTCAAGTTATCTGCCCACTTCAGCCTCACAGGGTACTGGGACTACAGTGTGAGACATCGTGCCCACCCTGTATTATTTTTAAAAAGGCAATTCATTGCACATATAACTGAAAGAAGTTTAATTTGTATATCTTTGTAAGATTTTTTTCATATAAATAAAAATGCACAAATCATTAAAAAAATTCATCAGAAACAATGTCCCAGTTAGAAAAAATGGTCCCACTTCACTACTGCCACTACACTGTTTAGGCCTGTACCATCTTGTGTGGACTGTTAGCTGCCTGTCAGTTAATAGCTTTGATGAAATTTACATTTCAATAATTGATATTTAAATTACACGCAGGTCAGTGGTAGGTGTAAGACTGTCTCTGCTATGTTGATTGACTAGACAGATCCAGGTGTACTTCAGACTTGGAATAAGACAATCTTCAGTTACAGAAAATATTGTTACTCTAAAATTTGCCCTAGCCAGGACCAGAAGGGGCTCTCTAGTGGCTGACACTTCTCCCATTCCCGACCAGCTTTCAAAGAGAGAGATTATAATGGACACAGCAATGATCCCAAGGCAGCACAGGCAGTTCCAACGTGTAGTTTTACTTTCAGACCCCTGGGTTAAGTCGGCTTTCAGCCTGTCCCTGGAGAGTCCCGGTCATGTCCAAGGCAGGAAGTTGCAATGAAGGAGTAGTCCCAGGAGCCAGTAAGTCAGGAAGTAGCCTAGAATGTATCGTGTGACTGGAGAACAGATTTTCCAGTGATACAAAAGTCCCATGATAGGATTTCTAGGGACCTTTTGTCCTGGTGGGGAGTCCTCTGTTAGAGGCTTCGAAGGCACAGTCTTTAAGGACCTCAATAGCGGCTCTTGATCCTGAAGCAAGTGAGCTGGAAACCAGTACACAATAGGAGTGGAGGAGCCCAAAAACCTGGTGAGAACCTAGAAATCGTAAGAGGGGAACATCCAGAAATTTACTGAAATGTCACTGATTTAAATTGGACCAGCCTGGGGACTTCTCTACTGCTGGGTGAACCATGGTCCCAGACTAGAAATGTATTACTCTGGAAAATAAATTGAATAGAACTTAGGATCTGTCTTAGAAAGATGCATGGAACAGCAGACAAACATCTTCCATGTTACAAATAAACAGTTACAGACTAATTACTATTACAATAATGGGCCAATCAGTACTAGAAACTATGGAGTCTAATTTTAGCCCAGGGCATGGACTCCAAACTCTGTGCTATTGATTTGGGGCTTGGGAACCTGAGGTGGTTCCTTTATCCCACGGGATGGCAAAGCAGAGGGAAACAGGCAGGAGACCCATTGCTTGAACATTCTCTCTGCTACAGGAGTTCAGAAACAAGTTTACAAATGGCCTCCCTCAGCTAACCTGGAAACCTTAAGCTTTGCTGGCACTCATTCTATGATTTAATCCAGCTAAAGACATGGAAAGCGACTTCCTATTTCCTCTTTGTCTCTTATCCATACAGCTTGGAGAACTTCAGAAACAGCTGATGTGCCACTCCAAGAGGAAGAAACTGCTAAGGAGAGGTCAGCATGGGGAAAAAAGACATCCCAGGGTGGGGCCACAGCAAGAACAGAAAATCAGATACAAGATCAAACCTTTCCCATCCCTCTCTATCACCACCACCATGACTCAAGACCTTAGATATGATATCTCCTCTGGAAATTGAGCACCTGCCTGAGTTGAGTACCTCCAGAAGCCAACAGTCAAGAAGCCAATATGGACATAACTGTATATTAGGGAAAAATCCCAGAGATATCCTCTGTGCTTATTCCTGTATCTCAGTCCAATCCTTTCACAACCCTCATGTTTTCGCATATGCCCTTCCTTTTACCTAGAGTGTTCCTCCTCTGCTTCTTATATGGAAAATCTCATTCTTCAGGACCCAGCTGAAATATGATGCCTTTCTCAACTACTCCAGTGAATTATATACTTCTTCTTTGCCTCCATAATACTTTATCTGAGCTTTTTAAAAAAAAATCTCAGGCTGAGCATGGTGGCTTACATCTGAATTCCCGGCACTTTGGGAGGCTGAGGCGGGCAGATCACTTGAGTTCAGGAGTTCAAGAAGAGCCAGGCCAACATGGTGAAACCATGTCTCTACTAAAACTACACAGATTAGCCGGACAGTGGTGGCAGGTGCCTGTAATCACAGCTACTTGGGAGACTGAAGCAGCAGAATCGCTTGAACCCAGGAGGCAAAGGTTGCAGTGAGCCGAGATCGTGCCACTGCACTCCAGCCTGGGCAACAGAGGGAGACTCTGTCTCAAAAAAATGGAAATAAAGTAAAATAAATCTCAAAACAGCACTCCCCTCTCTATACCACTGTACTATAATTTTATCTGTTAAATGTCTGTCCTATTTATACCATTAAACCCCTAGGGGCAGTAATTTTGTTTTATTCATGTTTCTCCTTAGGGTCTGACCTGGAGTCTGGCACAAAGAACATTCCTAAATAGTCGTTGAATGGGCCGGGCACAGTGGTTCACATCTGTAATCATGGCTCTTTGGGAGGCTGAGGTGGGTGGATCATGAGGTCAGGAGACCAGCCTGGCCAAGATGGTGAAACCCTGTCTCTGCT